AAATCGCATCCACCTACTCATCAGATCAATATTAGATAATATGTAGTTTAAAATTTGTATCCCCTCAGAAAACAACATTAAACAATTCATCATATCCAAGCTGGTAATTCTTAGAACGAAAGTTGAAAACATTCGTCACAAAATGATTTGTGAAAGAAGATTGTAAAACCCCAACTATTTTTCAACATAAAATTCATCAAGCATAATGCTTTCATTTTACAAATCTAAATATTAACCACCGATGAAAGATTTCTAACGTAGCACACGCTGTTTGGCCACAAAGAAGAAACGGAAAGCTTTTCCCAGAGCGGTATTTTTACCTCGTATTCATGCCCAAGGAGTAATCAAAGCCTGCCCGTCGTTCTCCAAGGTTGTGTCTTCTAACAAATTGGAATGTGATTTAGGAGCAACTTTGTACACGCAATCAGGGAAACTAAAGTGAGAAGGAGTTCTTTTGTCAATTCCACAAAAAGAGAATCCGTGAAAAGAATTATTGTAAGGATCGTGAAGCAAATTAAAGAAAGCTGTACTTTTCTGTTGTGCTTTCGTCTTCAAATAAACCTATTTGCTAAATGCATCTGGAAAATATGAAAGAAACAGAAATAATTGCGACAATATCCCCTAAAATGTCGCCGGGGGAAATAGCTTTCAAATATTTCCACATGTCTCGATCGATGTATGCGTATTGAGTAAACAATTTTGGTCCAGTTTATAATACGGAACTGTTCCATTTTGGTAAGTCGGCCATCCAATCCGAGGCTCTGTTATCACCACGTGACCTCGGGGATGTGGAACAGACTGAACTGTAATATCTTTTCCTGTACACGTTTTGTATTCAGACAGATGCAAATGTCACTCAGGAAAACAATTTTCTTTCTGTGAGCCTTGTTATAGATACATTAAGCACGTTGGCTGCTCATCCTAGCAGCTCTTGGCGTGACCTAGCCTAACACTGAACTTGGTGGTTGAGCAGTGGACATGTGAAAGTGAATGGGAAGCCTCTGAACAACGCACCTGGATGAAATACCCCGAAGTGATAATACATCTGCATGACCAGGTAAGACAATTGACCCAAATATCCGTTCCTCTAACCTACGGAGAATGTCTTGCCGCGAGTGTGGTTGACCCTGCGTTCACTATACAAGTAAGACAACAGTTAATGGTTACACTTAAACATGCAGTGATAATCCCTTTGCATGTAAACAGCGATGATGGTTTTCCTCGCTTTAATCAGACATTTCGTTAACTTATTAATACTTTATCTTTCCCAATGCTATTGAAGATTAAGAATCATTTTCTTTATCATGGGCTGTTTCAAGCCTCTGATGTCGTTACGTTGTTTTATGCCGAAGACCCTTTACTGTTGAACTGTTTGAGAGTCATTCTATAAGTTGTAAGTAATAGGAATGACAAGTCTTTATGGATGATCAACTTCTTTATTGTACAATAGAGACGTGTCGGTACAGATACCTACACTTGAAAACGGTATAAGTATCTGTACCGAAACGTCGCTATTGTTCAATAAAGAAGTTGACCATCGAAAAAGATTTGTCATAAGATTTTACTGTTGAAAATCCTTCTTGACCTGATGCTGACATTCTGGTTCATACTGGCGATTCTTTGCCACTGTTTTAACTCAGATCTTCTTTCATTTACGGTAGTATTGTTTCTGTGCCGTATTCCGACGTTTATTGACGGCGTTATTTAACGTCAACTGTCGTTGCGTTACGTTGTTTAACAAGTTGACGGATCTCTGCCCCACCTAAATACTCATATATCTTAAGCTTCATTCGTCACTGCTGTTTTTGTTACCCCGGACATACAGAAACATTAATTTTACGGTATGCTTAATCTAAACATGCCGACCCTCCGTTGATCGTTAGTGAGGCTGGGTGACTGGTCTTACAGCGTGACGTCGTACCACGTGGGACGTTATTCGTAATATCAACAACTGGTTTGTCTCATGCAGACTCGATTACATAGAGGCCACGTATATAGGATTGTTGAGTTAGGAGTGAGTGAGTGAGGTTTTACGCCGCCTTATAGCAATATTCCTGCAAGATCACGGCGGCGGACACCAGCAATCACAGCGTGACGAACGAACTCTTTAAGCATTAGGCTCACCTACCGCGCCCGTTGAATTAAGATCATTACGGTAATAGATAAACGTTACCCAGATAGGTTCTTTATTGTCAGTTTTTTCACGTTTATCACTTGTAATAATGTCGACAAAGAACCGTGAATACTTTGTAGTGTGGTAATGGGATTAATACTATAGTATGCAGCATATCCTAGATGATGTACCACACGGTTCTGACGAGTGAGTGAGTGAGTGAGTTGAAATTTACGCCGCTTTGGCCTTCACACATTGTACCCATTTGGGGAATCGAACCCGGGTATTCGACGTGACGAGCGAACCCTTCAACAACTGGTCTACTCCACCGTCCCCGGTTCTGATGAAACAATGCAGCTATTAAGTAGTTTCTAGACTACTGAACCATCCGTAGCCTGAATTGATGGCGGAGTCAATATTCAAGCTATGTCACTGTGGGGGCGGTGGGGTAGCCCAGTGGTTAAGGCGTTCGCTCGTCGCGCAAAAGACACAGGTTCGATTCCCCACATGGGCACAATGTGTGAATACCATTTCTGGTGTCCACTGCCGTGATATTGCTGGAATATTGCTAAAAGCGGCGTAAAACCATACTCACTCACTATGTCACTGCGGCCTATATATAATCGAGTCTGAACCACATCATAACAAACAAGTCGTTGATATAATGAGCAACAGGATACAAGAAATTTCCCTATTACAAGGGGCGGTAGGGTAGCCTGGTGGTTACAGCGTTCGCTCGTCACGCCAAAGACCTGGGTTCGATTCCCTACATGGGCACAATGTGTGAAGCCCATTGCTGGTGTCCCCCGCCGTGATATTGCTGGAATATTGCTAAAAGCGGCGTAAAGCCCAACTCACTCACTCACTATTACAAACACAGGTAGCTGTGACCTAATTCTATCCCGAATCTCTACTGGGTGCCCCCAATTAGAGATGAAAGACAAAGTACAGGATACACGAACCGAGTTGTAAGGTGCAGGCGTTCACTGGTCTCCTTCCTCAGCAAACTGTACCGGAGGAAATGTCAAACAGACGTGACCTACAATACATCACACTTCTACAACTGAAGGCAACAGAGTGCCCACGGCCCTCATTCAAAGTGGGTCGACGGCTAGGTCAAACATCTAACACACAAGGCTTTCTACGAGTAGTCTGACGCAGGACATAAACCTAACTTATGGTGAACTTTCGTCAAGAACCGGTTATAGTGTTGCTATAAGCAGGAAGTCTAGTACGAAACATGTAAAAAAATGTGTACAGCTGATTAAGACTGTTGGCAATACATTTCCATCATGTTAGTGAGTGAGTGAGTGTGGTTTTATGCCGCTTTTAGCAATATTCCAGCAATATCACGGCGGGGGACACCAGAAATGGGCCTCACACATTGTATCTAAGAAGGGAATCGAACTCGGGTCTTCAGCGTGACGAGCGGACGCTTTAACCACTAGGCTACCCCACCGCCCCTCCGTCATGTTAAATGAAGACAAGGCTCGGTTCAGTTGGGAGCCCCAGCAAAGTTGCCAAATCAGTGAAAACTCTCTTGATGCGTATTATCCGACCCTTGTGTAAGATTGCACAAACACATACACTTACAAAGTCTGACAGTAGACTCTAACTACAAACTAGATAAAGATGCCCTACAGAGCACACACCCTCTACAAGCTAATGGTTAGACTAACGCTTAGTCCCTGAATATATATAATTTTGATAGTAGCAAATAAACCCATTTTAACTGAAACGGAGCACCAGTGAGTTGGGAGATTCAGCACCTGGCGAAATCTAGACTTGCTTCATTTAGAGCTTTACCATTGCAGGGAGGGCCAGGCATTTGGGAAAATAATGTGGTTCAGAGACTGTGTGACAGGCTAGGCTGTAGGGAAAGTAATGTGGTTCAGGGACTGTGAGACAGGCTAGGCAGTAGGGAAAGTAATGTGGTTCAGGGACTGTGAGACAGGCTAGGCAGTAGGAAAAGTAATGTGGTTCAGGGACTGTGAGACAGGCTAGGCTGTAGGAAAGTAATGTGGTTCAGGGGACTGTAGGGAAGGCAGTAAAAGTAATGTGGTTCAGGGACTGTGAGACAGGCTAGGCAGTAGGGAAAAAGTAATGTGGTTCAGGGACTGTGAGACAGGCTAGGCAGTAGTAGGGACAGTAATGTGGTTCAGGGACTGTGAGACAGGCTAGGCAGTAGGGAAAGTAGGGTTCAAAAGTAATGTGGTTCAGGGACTGTGAGACAGGCTAGGCAGTAGGGAAAGTAATGTGGTTCAGGGACTGTGAGACAGGCTAGGCAGTAGGGAAAGTAATGTGGTTCAGGGACTGTGAGACAGGCTAGGCAGTAGGGAAAGTAATGTGGTTCAGGGACTGTGAGACAGGCTAGGCAGTAGGGAAAGTAATGTGGTTCAGGGACTGTGAGACAGACTAGGCAGTAGGGAAAGTAATGTGGTTCAGGGACTGTGAGACAGACTAGGCAGTAGGGAAAGTAATGTGGTTCAGGGACTGTGAGACAGGCTAGGCAGTAGGGAAAGTAATGTGGTTCAGGGACTGTGAGACAGGCTAGGCAGTAGGGAAAGTAATGTGGTTCAGGGACTGTGAGACAGACTAGGCAGTAGGGAAAGTAATGTGGTTCAGGAGTAGGGAAAGACAGACTGTGGGGAGACAGGCAGCAGTAGGAAAGTAATGTGGTTCAGGGACTGTGAGACAGGCTAGGCAGTAGGGAAAGTAATGTGGTTCAGGGACTGTGAGACAGGCTAGGCAGTAGGGAAAGTAATGTGGTTCAGGGACTGTGAGACAGACTAGGCAGTAGGGAAAGTAATGTGGTTCAGGGACTGTGAGACAGACTAGGCAGTAGGGAAAGTAATGTGGTTCAGGGACTGGTTTTACAGGGTTTTCAGTGTGTAAACCTGTGTTCGGCAGTAGGCTATTTATCATGACAACAGTAAACTTTCAAAAAAATGCTGATATGAAGACTTCACGGGTATTATCTCATCTGCATACAAAGGACGGTGGCCACTAGACAGATAACCTTGCATTAACCGACATGACGGTACAAGGACGCGATTCAGTACGACTCGGAAAGTGGTAGGCGTGGTGGAGGGGTTATTGTCTCGAATAGACGAGTGGACAAAACAGATACAAACAAGATGCTTAAGCAAGGTGCATTCGGGATCAAAACGTACAGGTCTGTATGAAACAGTTTCTTTCATCTCTCGCTTGTATCATAGAGTGGCGTTGCAACGATGGAAACGTCTGATATTTGAAGTTGTCTAGCAGTTGGGTAATGGAGACTTAGTCGTTATGGCCTACCGCAATCTGCAAAGTGTTACGAGAACTGATAACGTTCCTGGGTTGTGTAGCTAACGTCTTGAAGCCTCACAACGCAGGTTTCTGATATTACCTGTTGAACAAAAAGTCACAGGTAGTAAATGGAATTCAAGAATGACTTGGTCATAAAGAGAAGGATGTGCAAAACACGAAGAGGATTAACATTCTATGAAACTCTGTTGAATTCTCAAGGCCTTAATGAATCATACATTATTGTAATGTGATAACCTAATTCACTGAAAGCCCATAGTCCGCTAACAATCAGCACATTATTACCCCGGATAATCCAAGCTGCCTTTAAGGTGCTAGAAGGTTAGTAGTCACATGACTTATCCCACCGGGTACCCATTTTCTGCTGGGTGAACAGAAGCAATTTTTAACAAACTCACGTGCTTAAGGTGAGACCACATGTGTCACATGTGCTTTGCTTTTGGGCGGGACTGAAGTCCCAGAAACTCTCAGGAGTCAAGCTGCCAAACACGGTCATGCACCCATAAAGGACACTCCGTGCCCAACGTTGCTTAACTTCAACCGATTTGTGACCTGAGCTCTATGCACAGGACCACACACCACTGTATTACTGTATGTATATGTAACATTATATTCATTAAGACATTTGTGGTTTGAACGAAATAGTGGTGTTCCAGGACCACAGAATGACTCATATACTACTAAGAAACTTATCTGACAGATTAACTGCAATAATGTACATCTGAGTAGTATACGAGGAACAATATTTAAGGGAACCCTGTCATTTCAGCTGTAAGTGAGTGAGGGAGTTTTGTTTTACGCCGCTTTTAGCAATAATCCAACAATACCACGGCGGAAGACACCAGAAATGGGCTTCACACATTGTACCCATGTCGGGAATCAAACCCGGATCTTCAGCATAACGAGCGAACGCTTTAACCACTAGGCTACCCCATCGCTCTTCAGCTATAAGAATGGAAAGCCCAGATTTGTTGTACTAGACACGTTACTGAACGCAGAGAGAGAACTCGCGCCTTTAAAACATGTCGTCCATGGTGACATATCCTGGTCAATGAACGTCAGGACCAGGGTGGCGTTGTACAAAGCGATCTTAACGCTAAGGTAGCTCCCATATACTCTAACATAGACTTAAGGTAGTCTTAGCGCTAAGGTTGGTTTGTACAACTGTACCCAAGTCAATGATCGGAATAATGATAAAAATACCTCGAAAAGCATACTTAACGTGGCAATCAGTGTATGCAGTTGCCGGACAATCTAAAGGAGTGATACTCCGACTGAGGGAATGATGTCGCACGACTACTTCCAGACATAATCCGTATGTTCGCGCCACTGTATTGTGGAAGAGAATCATTCCTTACAACGACGTACTGATAACAAAAGGGCTGCCAACGGAATCTGACTTTCGAGTAAACGGTACAGGTCGGAAACTGAAATATAGACGTCCATTCTGACGGAATGCCTCAGACAACAGCAGTTTAGGGGTAGTCAACAGCGGCATTGCAAACACACCACACGGTTCTGTGTACGCTTCTCTGATGGTGTTCAGAGACGGCGCAGAGATTATTTTCCGGCAGCAGCCATGGAAAGCAAATGGGTACGGTGGTGGGAACCTGGTCAGGAGTGGTATCACATACGTCAACAGGACGGATCTGATGATTCGTGCAAGAATGAGTGAGTTTAGCTTTACGCCGCACTCAGCAATATTCCAGCTGTATGGCGGCAGTCTGTAAATAATCGAGTCTGGACCAGACAATCCAGTGATCAACAGCATGAGTCATCGATCTGCGCAATTGGGAACCGATGACATGTGTCAACCAAGTCAGCGAGCCTGACCACCCGATCCTGTTAGTCGCCTTTTACGACAAGCATGGGTTACTGAAGATCAATATTCTAACCAAGACCTTCACGGGTCATTCGTGCAAGAGAAACCACCGGTCAAATGACGTGGATCAAAGTTTACGTCCAGTGGTAATCTCATTTGCCTAGTGCGTAGTTCAGAAGAATGGTTTCAAAGGATGATCACACACTTCCCAACAAAGCTCATATCGCTGTCGAGTGACGCAGCAGAATCTTGCAACATTGTCCTGGCCATCCACATCTCCACGTCACCGATTAATCACCTTTGGGATGTTCTTGTCAGAAATGTTTGCAACCGATTCCTAGAACTTGATCGGCCTTACAAGAAGAACTTCCGGTACTAAGCTGGTTGCCGGCTCCTTTTGCGCGCGCCAACTTGCGATATGCGAGACGGGACCCAGCTTACTTCCGGTTCCAGATTTCCGGTGACAAGTGTATAGTCAAGAACCAGTTCTGGTTCCAAATTGTGCGACCCCCCAGATTTTCGAAAAGGTATGAAGCGTTGTTTGTCACCGGAAGTACTAATGTCTCGCAAAGTGATGTGACCAGCTTACGGGCCCTATGGCAAGGAATATCAAGATAGACGTTTGCTTTATAGCATGCCTTGAAAATATTGCGCTTGCATCGATGCTCACGGACATGGACAAGACATGAGTTGGTATGGTTTTACACCGCTTTTACCAATATTCCCGCCATATCACGGAGGGGGTATCACAAATAAGCTTCTCACACTGTACCCATGTAAGGAACAATACAAGTGTCTTGAGATTGAATTTCACGTAATTTAAAAAAAATATAAGAGTGGTCCCCAGATATTGTTCCTCGTATATATCTCGCCTTACTTTGTAAGAAGTCTTACGCTTATGCTGATCTCGTGCGAAGTATTTTTCTTTCGCTTGTATACACAGCGTTGTCGTGCGTTCACGTAGTCGCACAATCATTTAGGTCACACGTAAACCAAGATATTACTTTCCTATTTAGTTTTATTAATATTATCATATTTTATCTTATTTATAGCTTTCATAGCATATTCATATTTTTCATGTGATATATATATATATTGTAATGGTGCATGTTAGCAATATGGTCTGTAAGTAAGTTGAGGATATTATATTCGTGCCCATATCATACGATGTTTACGACACGAGTGCCTAAATGTTGGTATTTCCCGAGCGAGAGCGAAGGATATACCGATATTTAGGCACAAGTGTCGTAAACATAGTATGGTATAGGCACGAATATAATATTCTGTTTATTACCGAAGTTGTCAAATTGAGGAAAATAAACCCAAATCTACGTTCAAACACAGGCTGGCTACCCGCCGCCGCTGTATGTAGAACGCAACGCCACAGAAGAAAATGAACCCCGATATGTTCGCCCTCGTAGGTAACAATTGATATTATTACCTACGAGGGCGAACATATCGAGGTTCATATTTTTCATACGATGCCCTAGGGCAAAATACTAGTATCACTTTGTCATGGTGACGTGACGTCATGAACAATGCTGCAATGTCACGTTACTTCTGTGGCGTTTCGTTCTGCATGCGGCGACGCTCGGGAAATACCAACATTTAGGCACTCGTGTCGTAAACATAGTATGACATGGGCACGAATATAATATCCCCTATTTATCATCCAAAACTGTGTTCCACAGGAGATATCGCTTGTGTGAGATCAAATGATATCTCCTAGGAGATATCGCTTTGACAGTAGATTTTGTACAATGCCCTGACAATGCCATGACATCACTGCACTGCAAGTGTAATGGCAGTACCATGTTCAGAGATGTACATTTTTCATTGAAAATTGATGAAGAGTGATTTTGGATGATAAGTAGAATCTCACCCTCGTGTCTTCTGATATCAAATATATCAACACTCGTTGATAAAGTAAAAATATCCTCGGCCAGCCTCGGATATTTGTAACTTTATCAACTCGTGTTGATATAATTGATATCAGAAGACACTTGGGTGAGATTCTCTATGTATTTACCCGACCAACTAGTCTGCACAACGATCCACTTGGTTTCGCCATGTGACCACCCAATCTCTAGTTTACTCAGGTGTTGTGACAATCATTACAGAGGACTGTACCGACCCGTGAAGATCCGGGTTAGAATATTGATCTTGAATATCCCATACTTGTTGTAAGAGGCGACTAACGGGATCGGGTGGTCAGGCTCGCTGACCTAGTTGATGCATGTCATCGTATCTCAGTTGCGTCGATGCTCATGATGTCAGTCACGTGATTGTCTGGTCCAGACTCGATTATTTACAAACCGCGGCAAAATAGCTGAACAGTGTGAAGTCCGGCGTGCTACTACATCTCAAATCGAACTGCCCTCTAAAGTATGGAATCGTCAAATTTACGACGTCATAAAGCTGACAATGTGCGTTCGAATCGCGATTGATTCCGTTTTGCCTGTACCAGACTAAATTATTTACAGATCGCCTCCAAAACGCTTAAACGTTGCTGAGTATTGCGTTAAACAGAGGAATGGTCCGCCCCGAAATCAACTCGGTACATCTACATACGTGACGTGAAAGCATTGCTTTAAGAGCTAATGAGAGTCGATTACACGTGTTTGTTTATTCATCAATGCAGGGGTACCTCCTGCACCAACATCCCCCTCAACAACCTCGGCATCAACAACATCTCCTAGTTAATAATGGACTTCGTGGTTCTGGCATCGTAACATTTTGTCCACCACTTGTAACAGGAAAATAGAAATCTAAATAGAGATATCTCCTTTATAAACGAACACTCCAAATGTCGGGGAAATGCCATTGTGTATATCACTTGAAAGACACAGACCCATTGTGGCTATTCCTGGTAACTACATGTGGGACGTGACCCCAACTTTCCTGCTTAAATCCTCAGGCATAGGTTCTTAGACATGCCCTTTCAATCTTACGTTCTTTGGAAGCTCATTTAGGTTTGTTTACATCAACAACGAACACGGCGGTGGTACTTTCCCACGGCTGTGGAGACATGTCTGTAGCACCAC